ATTAATGCGCCAACAAGAGCACGACGCATGCATGGGGTCCCCTTGGAGTAGCGATGGTCACCCGGGCAGGCGACAGATAGTCGTTGCGTTGTATTTGTGCGTCCTGACGTTCTCCATGCCTAGTCCGTGCACCCAAAGTGCCACACGTAGATCGTAGTCAAAGTGGGTTTTTTCTGGACTCTATCCCGTCATGCGAAGCCCATTGGATGCTAGTATTGGTTCCCATGCCTATAAGTGCTTGGACGGGGAATTGGGGAAATCACAGGAGCTACTCCCAGTAAGGTACCTACATTGGAGACGTGGCATGCCCTGTATCATACTCCTACGATTTTCTAAAAGATATGTTATTTTAAGGTTGTCTTAAGTTAAGTATTTTAAACTCTAACTATAAATAAATTATTTTGGATTAAATTTGAAAATATGAATTGCATCTAGGTTTGGGCACGTAAATCAAGACTGACGTAAAATGACGCTGCTATCCCTAGAAACATCCATCTGACTTGATTTGGAGCCTGGGTGGCGTCGTACGGCAGTCCAAACGGGTTAATCAAGGCTGTGTTTAGTTCGTGAAATTTAGAAATTTGGCTATTGTAGTATTTTCGTTTTTATTTGTCAATTAGTGTTTAATCATGGGCTAATTAGACTCAAAACGTTCGTCTCACGATTTACAACCAAACTGTGTAATTAGTTTTTCTTCATCTACATTTAATGCTCCATACACGTATCGTAAGATTTGATGTGATAACTACTATAGCACTTTTTGGAAAAAAATTTAGAACTAAACGTGGCCCAAAAGAGTGGATGGGGACGCTTCTAGATCCTACGTTGCTTTCTCTTTTGTCCAGTTTTTCTTTTTATTTCACGGTCGTACCTGCTGTGGCTGCTGTACAGGCTGTTCGGAACTGGTGATTTGTTCGTGGCTGGTTCGTGAGAAAGTACTGCTGGTTAGTTTGTGTGAGAAAAAAATATTGTTCCTGCCTAGAAACATTGTTCACGTGAACATTGCCCGTGTGAGAGGGCTAGCCAGCACCAGCCGCTCCAGCCGAACAGGCTTGTAGTCAGTAGATGTTGTAGCCTAGGTACCCTATATGACACTTTAATTTGGGACATTTTTTGAATGCCAAATGTGCAAATATTTTGGGACTGAGGGAGTAAGTAGATTTATCTCAAAATGTAGTTTCATAAAAATATATATTAACTATATTTTATAAATATTTTATAGCTAAAAGTAATGGTTAAAGTTGTTTTTTAGATACCGTATCGCTGTCTAAAACAACGTCTTTAGAAAACCGGAGGGAGTATAACCGTGTCGTGTCGGTTCCTCACAAGCTCCACGCAATCCGTTTTGAAGTAAAGAGCAGACGGGTAGAGGAACACAGTGCAATATTTGTACCTGTGCCTTGTGTTGAAGCTGCAGGCGGTAAGTAGCTGGCATGATTGGTTCATTGCTTTTGGTATGCGCATGTAAGTAGTACCAGTATATAGGGTTTATTCCCTTCATCCCAAAATAAACGGACATCTCCCTTTTGAGGAGTCAAATATTTTAATTTCTGACCAGATATGTACATATACTAATATTTACAATAAATAATAAACATCATTAAATTAAGCATGAAAGATACTTTAGCAATACATTTATTTGAAGATGCAAATTGATGCTATTTTTATATCCTTAGTTAAATTCCGTTTTAAAAATTACTCTTAAGAGACGAGATACATGTTTATTTTGAAACGGATGAAGTCCTCGTCGTGGGTGGAGCCGCAGGCCGTCGTGCTGCACCTGCACCACGCCACTTCATCTCGGGTAGTTCTTAGGCCGGGCCCCAAACGCTAGCATTGGGCCCAAATTCAGGTAGCCCGCCATCTGTTGGCAGTTGGCTGGCCCATCCAGCAGCCGCGCCCTCCCTTTTGTGGCTCCGCTTGCTAATACAGTAGTAGTACGAGAGAACCTGTTACACAGTATCATTGTATTATGCTACATATAAACCAAGCAATCACCCAAATTAAAAGAAGGAAGCAGGGCGTACACAGGGCGAGCTACGCCTACGCTACAGGCCTGTCCAGCGCATTCGGCCGGCGTCGGCGCGCCCTCGTCGACGGTCGTGTACATACCGCGCCGCCGAACGCCGTCACAGTCACTGACCGGCCGCGTTGCTGTTGCTGTAGGTACGTACACTCGTGTAGTGTAGCAATCACGCGCGAAGAAGACTGGAACACTAGAAAGATCCTGCCGACCGTCCGGACGATACAGTCTGTTCGCTGGCTCGTAAACGATCGTAAATTTCTAGCTGAGAACAGTGTTTTTCTTTCACACCAAACCAGCCAGCAGTAAATAATCCACGATACGATACGGCCTCCCGAACAGGCCGACAGTGCGTAGTGGGTGCGTTGCTCTTGTCCACTGTGCTTCCACTTCCACTTCCACTTCCACCCTGGGGGGCTGAGCAGGCAGGCAGCCGGCCGGGCGTCGCGGGCGCGGACAGGTGGGTGGGTGGCGCCGCACGAGGCCACCGGCCACCGCCCACCGGGACACGCTGCTTGCTTGGTCCGTCAAACCGCCGAGCCCACCACGGGGCGCACGCACGACGCCATCTGCCGACCCTCCACAGTCCACACACACCCTTTTGCCGCGCCTGCCCGGGCCCCGAATGGAAACGGGGTCCTTTTCTTGGCGTGCACGCGGCCGCGGGGCGGCGGGCGGCGCAGGCCGCCACCAGTGGCACTGGCACGGGTCGGGGGCTCGGGCGGGGTCGCCTTCTCCGGTCTCCGGCAGCGTTCGCGCCGCATCCCGGCATCCGGATGCAGGTTGGTTGTTCCATACCAATCGGGCTCCCGTTACGTTAGTTGGGCGATGAACATCGCGGCGGCGTTGGCGGCCTTGTTCCGTTCGGCCCGTCTGCACGAGCACAAGGATGGAATGGGATTAGGCCGGAAAGCACGCCTCATAATGGATATATATATTTATTGTAGATCATCATGGCGCTCTAAACTGGTCCCGGTCCATGTCTTAATCGGCGGATAAGGATAGCTTAACGTAATGCAAGTAGCATGTAGCACTGTAGCAGCCCCCGGTTGACTTGTCAACTCCATGTCCAACAACATGGCATATGGCAACATTGCATTATGCATTCTGAATCTGTGATACGGTGCTGCTCCAACCTTTCCCTTTTGACCAGCAGCGCCTAGCGTTCTCGTGGCTCGCGGGAAAAGACTTTTGCAGGCGACGGCGGCGGCGTTCGCTAGGTGCTCAAGCTTTACTTGATGCAAGGCAAATTTATATACGGATTAGTTGCAGGCATATGCATGACCTTTTTTCATTCGGTTTGCGCACACCAACCTGTTCCTGTACTGGGAGTGGGTTTTTACTATAATGAATGGTCTTTACTGACCTCTATGTGATGTGAGCGATGATAACAGCAATTTTATGTGATCAACTCAACTGAAAGAAAAATATAACCGCACATTAATCCCTTTTCCCTTGTTGCTCCAACAGAAGTCAGTCCTTACATAAAAAAAAATCGTTTTTTTTCCTTTGATAGCCAGATTAGGTAGTGCTGAGATGGACCAAACCTTTGAACAAAAAGAAGACCTAACGGAAACAGACTTGCTACACAGTAACCGGTTGTTTTGGAGGTTGTAAACAACCGGTTTCTGAGCCGTAGAATGTAGACTGGCTGCCGTCTGAGCCGTTCGATTTTGTTTCCTGTTCCCTCTGTCGCATAGCTCGCAAGCTGCCGCCGCCCAGGTGCGGTTTCCCGCTCCCTCCTTCGTCGCATAGGTCCTAGATCGCCGCCCGCGCCTGCTCCCCGCTCCCTCAGTCGCATAGCTCCCAGGCCACCGCGCGCAGGCTCAGGCGCGGGCGCGGCCGTCCCCGGCCGGCGTCCCAGGCGCGGACGCGGCCGTCCACGACGCGGTCGCTGCCATCCCCCGGCGCGGGCGCGGCCGTCCCCGGCCGGCGTCCCAGGCGCGGACGCGGCCGTCCACGGCATGGTTGCCGCTGTCCCCCGGCGGTCGTTCCTAGCGCTGGCACAAGTCGGCCCCCTCCCGTCCACCATTTGTATTTTTTTTCAAATTTCTGAAGAATTTGTAAACAATTTTGACATATATTTATCTGATACGTAGAATCCATAAAATACATATTTGTGTTATACTCAAGTTACATCATTCTATCTAAGAAATTATACTGAAGAAATTATTATAAATATAGTAATAAGGTGATGTAAATACAAGATATTGTAAGTGTATAAAAAAATATGTTTGTTGAGATGGGCTAAGGCCTCGTTTAGTTCCGCCGAATTGGCGCCGGCAGGAACACTATAGCGGCACTGTAGCTACAGTGTTGTTTTGTTTTTATTTGTTAATAATTATCTAATTGTTGACTAATTAGGTTCAAAACATTCGTCTCGCAAAGTACAACTAAACTGTGCAATTAGTTTTTGATTTCATCAATATTTAGTACTCCATACATATATCGCAAATTTAATGTGACGGGAAATTTTCTTTTTGCATAGTGTCGAAATTGGGGTCTAACTAAACGCGGCCTAAAGTTATTGGATAGACAGATTCAACGGAAAATGATCCGTTCCTTGTTTTTTCTAACTGACCGGTCAATATTTACCACACTAGTAACTGACCGGTTAATCCTGCGATTAGTGAGTCCCCGACATCCCATCGATGCTGACTTCCGCTTTCCCTTCGTCCTCCGCTTTCCGTCAGTTTTTTCTTTTTTTCTTTAACATGTTTCTTTTCTTTTGTGCCAGCAGACTTTGGGCCGCACGCTGCTAGCCTCCTATCTCCTCAGGGCTCAGTCTTCTCCGCTTTTTTTCCCCTCTCCTTCTGGACGCACCTGGAAAAATTGATCCATTTCTTGGCAGCTGCGCCAGTCCACTATTGATATCCCGGCGACCCAAAGCCCCCATCCCAGTCCCAGCAGCCTAAGGATTGGGGATTTTTGCTTCGTGTTCTGCTCCTGCTGTAGGCGTTGATTCGGGTGATGAGAGATGGCCTTTTTGGCGTGCTTGTGCCGATGTCCTCAGGACGAGGACGACGACGACAAGGAGGGGGAGCAGTTCAGAATCAATCGCCAAGTCGCCTCAGGTGATGAGCGATACTCATGGCTCAAATTTTTTTCTTGCGCTCATGTTTCCTGCTTTTGTCTTCGTTGTAGTATATACTGCGTCTGGCGGCTAGAAAATACTCGTTTCTCTCGGTGCTTTTATTCTGGTACTAACTTGTTCGTAGTATGTTTACTTCTTCGTGGTATGTGAGGGTGAGGCCCTGGTACTCCGGTACCATGCTTCCTGTGAAGCTGAACGTGTTCTTGCTGACAGAGGGGCGTTTGATTCTGAGGAAGAAAATAAGATCAAGTCTACTGATTCGTGAACTTGATAGCTGCAGCGTGACCAATTTTTAGTTGTTTATTTACGGGAGTATTGTACTCATACTCAGCCATCAAGAACCTTTTAATTCTGAATAGCAGGTCAACCTTTTCTTTTCGCACCCATCGAGGCACCCAGCCTCATGGATGAATTCCTCACCCAAGGTCCCCATATTTGAAAAAACTCTTATGTCCTTTTTATATAAAGGGCGTACCCAGTGCAGAGAGCTCCCGCTCTGTGCGGGGTCTGGGGAAGGGTGTCAGTGGCAAGCTTTACCCTCGCCTGTGCAATGACTCGAACCCGGGACCTTCCGGTCATAGGCGGTAAGACTCTACCGCTTGCACCATGAGTCTTTTTTATATGAGAAGGAATTTTTATTCTGAACTATGCATTAGGCATGCACACGACCCTTGATTATTTCAAATTCTAGCTAGTGGCTTCAATAAAATGCTATCAAACAGCAGAGTGCGAAAACTCTTATATGTCTGCCATTTATTATCTCATAAGACGAGTGGAGAAAATCAGTAATCAAGAGTCGTGAAGAAAATAAATGCTTGAAAACAGTGTTGGGTGAGCTATGAGAAAATTGTTGATATATTCTTGTTTGGTCTTTTTTCGTCAGTTGTGTTCTTATTCATTGACACTTATTGTATCTTTTGGTTTTCAATGGGCCATTGACAGTGGACTACTCAAAATCTTCTGAAAGCAGCCCATTGAATACTGAGAGAGTGGCGCATATGGAAGGAGCCCAGCTAATTGGTAGACATGAGGAAGCAACAATCTTCACGTTGCGTCAGCTTGCTGAGGCTACCAAAAATTTCAGGGAGGACTATCTTTTGGGGCGAGGAGGATTTGGTTGTGTCTACAAAGCAACTCTTAGTAATGGGCAGGTTTGTGGTCTCAGTTCATGTTTCTCATTGTTTTATTTTAGTTATGCTGCGAGCTCACTACAGTTTTGCGAGAAAACATTACACTGCATACTTAGTGTTAATGCTTTTAAGAAATATTTCATTTTTCTGATAGCAACGTGAGCTGTTGAAAATATGGTAACCTAATTTGTATTTTCTATATATGTCTAATGCCGCTCCAGCTTTTGCTGCATGGCAGGTTGTTGCAGTCAAACAACTTGATCTAAATGGGTTCCAAGGGAACAGAGAATTCCTTGTGGAGGTTCTCATGCTCAACCTCCTGCATCACCCTAATCTAGTCAATTTGCATGGCTACTGTGTTGATGGTGATCAGCGCTTGCTCGTTTATGAGTATATGCCATTGGGATCACTAGAAGACCATCTACATGGTTAGTTACTGTTTTATGTTGGAAATGTATGATATCCTCAGCATCAGGAGCAACTTAAAATTCCTACTTGTAATTTTATTTTCATGATAATACTGTTAATATAAAAACACTGGGTGTTTCGTATATTGAAGGACCTTCCAACATATGCAGCATCTTTTTTTCCCCCTACAAGCCTGTTTAAGTATTAAAACATGTTAAGATAAATTGTTCGACCCATAATGTGCACTGATTTTATTGTCAGTTCTTATCGCAAATTAGGGATAAAAAACAGAAATGTATACTGAACTTGAGACCGAAGATGCTACCTAGTTAAGTTTACCATAACCAATACGTTGAACAAAATGTCTGAAGTATTTGCTTCAAAAGGATTAAAGTACCCTCCGACATGCCGCTTACATTGAAGTTTGGCACTGAATCGTTATTGTGATTATTTACCATTTATTACTGCCAGTTGTATTCATTTATTGTTGCTTTCAATAGATCTTGCACCTGATCAAGAACCTCTAGATTGGAGAACACGGATGAAGATAGCTGCTGGGGCAGCTTCTGGTTTGGAATACCTACATGATAAGGCAAATCCTCCAGTTATTTACCGAGACATTAAACCATCAAACATTCTCCTTGGCGAAGGGTATCATGCAAAATTGTCCGACTTCGACTTGCTAAGCTTGGTCCTGTAGGTGACAAGACTCATGTGACAACACGTGTCATGGGGACACATGGTTATTGTGCTCCTGAATATGCCTTAACTGGACAGCTGACAGCGAAGTCTGACATCTATAGCTTTGGCGTCGTTTTCCTTGAGCTAATTACAGGTCGAAGATCACAAGACAGTGATCGGCCTCCTGAGGAACAAGACTTAGTTGCGTGGGTATGCTTTAATTTCAGAATGCATTCAAGTGCTCCAATAATTGGTTTTGTATAAAGAAAATCAGATGCATATTAAAATATGTATTGAAGATAAATTATTGAACTAAAAGAATTATCCAATGTGTTAAAGAATAATAACATCTTATTGTTAGATTGTTGTCTCAAAGCTTTGGCTATGGTTAATATTTTTTATTCCTCTGTTTCCGTCTACATTTAAGTAAATTAACATTACATGGGTTAGGTTTTGGAGATACCTACAACTGTCAACTACATGATGTGAACCATTTTCTGACAATCAGTAGTTAGTTTGTTAAAAAAGTCTCGAATTTTGTATGCATCTTAATACCCTGGAAGTGATCATCTTTTATGTATCAAGAACTCTACCTCATTTCCAAACACCGGTATTATATAGGACTCATTAGCAGTGAAGCTGTTGTGTTGCTTGAATTATACAGGCATCTTTATTTTCCCATTTGATGGCACAATCTATGTTAACCGCTGAAGTTTATGTTGATCTGTGTACAGGCTCGTCCATTGTTCAAAGACCAAAAGAAGTTTCCCAAGATGGCTGATCCTTTGTTGCGGGCAGGTTCCCAAGTAGGGGTTTATATCAGGCACTGGCTATTGCAGCAATGTGTTTACAGGAGAAAGCTAAAAACCGGCCTCCCATTAGGGAAGTTGCCGCAGCTCTCTCTTATTTAGCATCACAAACATATGACAGGAACAACAGTGCTGCCCGTTGTAACCGTGCTGGCCCTTCAACATCAAGAGTTCTGGATGATCAGATTGGCCAGGACACCACATTCGCTAATCAACACGGAGCTCAGATGTCTATGCATGGCCAGACAAATCACGTCATGCCTGAAGTGAAGGAAACTTCGTGGAGTGGGAATGGTTCACATCGTGGAGGAAGGGGAAGAATTACTCCAAATGGCGCTGATAGGGAGCGTGCACTTGCAGATGCCAACGTATGGGCTGAGGCTTGAGGCGCCAGGAGAAGGCAAGCAAAATGCGATTGTGATTCGAGCTTGACTGCGACCTCTGCATGAGTTTTGACATGTCATTGCAAAGATGCTTACTTCGCATACATTTTGAAAAATAACTGTGGATACAGAAGGATTGTTAGAAGAGAATGAGGAATAATGTGCAGCGGAAATGTAGAGCTTCACCAGAGTGAGCGCTTCAAAGATTTCACCGGTGGAATCTACAGTACTCAGACTTGTTTCACTGCGTACATGTAAATAAAGCTTTATAGACAGACACTCCACACTCCATAGATACATGTAATAGCTCCATAATAGGCACCTAGAGTACACAACCTTTCTGTAGTGAAAGTTCAGCGGTTTTGGATACATAACATAGGATCCGCTGTCGTCATACGTGAACTGGTATGTATTACGACTTGCAGCATACACATTTTTATGTCATTCATGTTAAAAACTTCGGTGCTCTTTTTTGCCAGTGTTATGTTCAGATTTTGTACATGTAGCTTGTGCGCTTCGGTGCAAATCTGGAGCGTCCGAGGTTCATCGGGACTGTGATGGGAAAATGTTACAATGAATGGTGTTATCCTAGCTGCAGAAATTGTTACTGTCGTCTGTTGACGCAAAGATTAGTCACGCACCATCTAGGGCTAGATCGTCTGGATCGACACGGACTGAAAGAACGTTAAAGATTGGTCACATACCAGCTAGGGCTAGATCGCTCGGGTCACTATGGACCGAAGAACGCAGCAAGGATCATACTTACATGGTGAAGAACGGAGAGGTTTATGAGCAAACCCTCGAAGAATAACCAATGGCTTATGTGACGATAACTAATCTTATCGCTTACGTGACGAAGAATGGCTCGTTTCCGAGCAAACTAGCAAAGGGTAACCAATCGTGCTTGTGTGACGAATAATGGCAAGTTTCCGAGCAAACTAGTAAAGGAACCGTCGAAGCTCTCGCTCGGGACAGACCCCGTCGAGGCAAGAACATCGGCGGGTTGCCCTAGATTGGCTGGCAAGCCTAGGACACCATGATCGTCGAATCAAGAGATGAACAGCGGCACAGAGTTGAAAAAAAGGATTTAATAAATAAATGTAAAAAGATCGATTGTGCGTTGGATACCTCAATCGGCCATGTACCTCTATTTTATAGGGAGTAGGAGTGATCTAATCCCGTTGAAAAATCAATGTGGTACTATTATTATGTCGCTTTATAGAGTTTTCTTTAGATTGGGGCAAAACTAAACATGGGCCTCTTAAAATTGGTCTGGGCCCAATTTTAATGTCAACACCGTCAGTCAAGGTTTTCATCTTTTTTGCTAGCTTCTACCAGCCAGATGCTAGAATCTAAAACTAATAAATAAATGTAAAAAGATTGATTGTGTGTTTGATACCTCAATCGGCCATGTACATTTTATAGGGAGTAGGGGTGATCTTATCCCGTTGAAAAATCAACGTGGTACTATTATTATGTCGTTTTATAGAGTTTCTTTTAATTGGGCCAAAACTAAACATGGGCCTCCTAAAATTGGTCTGGGTCCAATTTTAGTGTTAACACCGTCAGTCAAGGTTTTCATCATTTTGCTAGCTTCTACCAGCCAGATGCTAGAAGCTGAAACAAATGGCCTAGTTGTGGAGCTGGCTTTTAAAAAGTTAGAAAGCTGGCTTACGAGGAAATGAACTAAAATCTGAAAAGAATGCTAAGAAGAGTTTTTCTAGTTCCTGACGTGCTGTAAAGCTAAAAACTTATTACAAAATACAATAGCAAAAATTTTAACAGTCCAAAGCCAGAAAAAACAGCTTTCAAGGCAAAAGATCAAAAGCTGCGACTCGAACAAACATGGCCTTGATAGTAGCCGACCAACACTGTTGTGCATACAACGTACTGAAAACCTAAAATTTGTGCTGAATTTGTTTTCCTTCTTTTGATCTCAAGCTGCCATCGCTCTTCATGATTCTTGTCGTGGCCACAACAAACCAACCCCGCCCGTCCGAAATATGCAGGAGAAAAATGCGTGTAATAATTGGGAAAAAACAATGGGAACGGCGCAACTACCCTTCTCTCTATCCACAACCAGAAATACAAAGGTAGGCAGTTGTCCTGTGTGTTCGGGAAAAAAAATGGCACAATTACATGCCAAAACACAAGATGTGCAACAATCTTAGCTGGGAATTGGCCATAAAGCAAGCTGGTTGATGATGCTGCTTCGTTCGGATTATCAGGTCTCTGATCAAACACCTGCAGACTGCGGTTCGTAGCCTCCGCTCTACTCAAACAATATACTACATAGCATCATGTCTGTGTATATCCCCTCAGCTCAAATCGAATACGCAATTAGAATCCACAAAAAAGAAAGAAACAAATCAAATATGTGCTGGTAAATATGGTCCGTGACATCAGTCAGGGGAAAAACTTCGTTCACGTTTTGCAGATATACGATGAATTGCACAAGACAAGACCCCATAGCGGCATAGCCACATACACATACTGTTGAATCTATCCATATCCATGATGGTTACAGAGCAACAAATGCTAGCCGGCATACATACATACAAAAAAATGCAAGTTCAGCCAAAACTAAGCATGCCTAGCCTGTCGTTTAGACTCCAAATCGACGAGACATGGCACTGGGGATGGATGACAACGAACCTGTACCGATTATATACGCACGTACGTCGCACATAACAGAGGAAGGGAGCTGGGGGCTCGACCAACGGCATGGCCGTGCTATCGGAAGAAGCCGCGGCGGAGCGGCGGGGGCTGCAAGAGGGCGACGAACGTCAGGACGGCGACGGCGACGAGGACCAGAGCTATGAGGATGTTCTCGTCGACGGGGAGAAGGCACACCTGCCCCATGATCGCACAGGCTGGTGGTGAATGGCGATATGCAGGGGAGGGGAGCTCAACTGCAACTGCAAGCGGGCGAGTATGGTATGGTATCTAGACGCCGTTGGGCGTTGGGCGTTGGCTTTGGTCACGAGTATGCCTGTTATAGTTGTTCAAGTCTCTGTCTCTATCTCTCTGGGTCAACTGCTCTGTGAACGTATTTTTCGGCCTGTTCGCGGGTTGGTTTCTGGGTTGATAAGCACGACTGGTGCTGGCTTGTTGTGAGAGAAAAACATTGTTGGCTGACTGATAAGCCCTGGCTGAAACCAACAAACGAACAGATGGTTTCTCTAAAGCATGAAAAGAGACGGAAGAACTCCCGGTGTTGCGATGCTATGGACCATCCACTCGTCTCGTACCGTCGTACACCTCAATACCATTCTATGGAATTACGTACTCCTTACGTCCACGAAAGAATGCAATTCTCGTTTTTCAAGAAGTAAAGCATTTTGAATTTTAATTGAATTTATTCAAAAAAATACTAACATTTTTTAATACAAAATAAGTACCATTAGTTATAGAATATATTTTTATAACAAAGTTACTCGGTGACATAAATGTTAATAATATTTACTATAAACTTGATTAAACTTGAGCAAATTTGACTGGCACGGATTTCATAATTACATTCTTTTGCGGACAGAGGGAGTATTAATTTTGGTATTTTTGGCGTTTTCAATGGGAATTAATTTTTGGCCCATGAGTCATGACTAGGTCGGTACAACAGCTGCAAGTTGCAGCAGCGGTTTTGAAGAGATCCGGCCGGTGCATCCTTAGGTCACACCATTTGCATCGTCAACTTGATATATTGTCATAATACACCAGTTCTACTTGTTTTTTTTATATACACAACTGTAAATCCTTTAATTGATCTACATCTTTATCACCTGTCCTCACCAAACAAAAATTGTAGATTTTTCTATGTTTCTCTAGACAGAGGTGGGGGATTTCTTTGAACCCAGCCTCTTGTTTTGGAACATGCATGAAATGTAATGCACTGGACCAGATTAAAGTACATGCAGTACAAACGTGAATTATGACTCGTGAGCTACTCCCTTGCAGCAAGGCCTCTTGTTAATAAGCTTCAAGGTTCAATACTTCAGAGTCGTGTGGGTTCGGTGGTGACTGATAGGTCAAAAAATAGATTTTACCTTGAGTCTGAGCATCCGGACCTCGTTTTCTTTTATAAAATGAACAAATTTGATAAGACTATCATATGCATAACAAAAAAAAACAGAATCAATACACTTTTTGGATGGCAGTATGTGGTTCGTCCAATAATTTACTAGGCGCCTTTAGTCTAGACTAACAGTTTAATTCAGTAACTGCATCTCAAGTGTCCGACTCTTCAAATTTTTGACCAGCTACACCTCCAAAGGAAAATATGATTTAAATCGCACAGCAAATTTCGGATGAAAATTTTCCAAGCCACAAACAGCGCAGAGCTCACCCTTCTCTAGACCCTGCACAAAGCGGGAGCTCTCTGCACTGGATACGCCCTTACCAACAACGCAGAGCTATAGCCTATAGTAGGCAGGTTCTCGAGGGCCAATTTCTAAAGATGACGGCGAAAGCAAACGACACCACACACGTATCGGTTTCTTTGTACAGTCGCTTCACAAGTCGTGACAGATACAGTGCATAAGGAAAAATCTATACCAAATCTTTTCAAGGAAATAATAAAGACCACATGGATATGGACCATATAGCGAGTCAAATGAGTCATGACAAAACATGAGGACGAAATTTTCGTCTTACCCTACTGATCATTGGTACGACGCCTTCTTCTGCCAATTAGGAGTGGACATGCAAGCGCAGAGGACCAAATCTGCACAAATTTGCTGTCAAAGGCTGTAGAGCCCGCAAAGTGCACAACTGAACAAAGCAGACAACAATAATCGACAAAATAGCCAGTTACCAGGAATTTGCACAAAA